GAAAAAATCTTATAGTATCTGCACCTTTTTCCTCTCAACATTAATATTTTAAACAATAATAATCTAGAAACAATAAAAATAAATAAAAACAACCTCAAATCCGTGTCGAACAACAATTCCTATGAATCCACATTATATTGTTTCTTATTTCTTTAAAAAAGTGACTTTTATCATTCTCTTAGTCTTATTCCTTGTATGGAAGTACATCACTCCCTCAAACTGTTCACAAACATCTCTACCCTTCAGATCAACAACTTTCTCTTTTAACAAAATGTAATAGTTTGTTTAAAGGTAATAAACATTTATGAGCCTCATACATAACCTGTAAAATATTATAATCAACCAACTCAGAGAATTCAATCATTTTAACTGATAAAATAATATATTTGATGGTGACTGTTTACTAGTGATAATTCTTACAGCTCTTTTCTGTAAAACAAAAATATGGTTTATAATTGTTTTACATGCTTTCATGACTTCAAACACAATAAATTAAGTGAGGAACAATTATTGAATTATACAACATATACAAAGCTTTAACATTAAATAACTCCTTACTTTAAACAGTACTCCAACAGATTTAGCTGTTTTTGTTCTTAAATAATTAACATGATGTCTCCATGTCAGTTTTTCTTTAATAATAACACGCAGACACTTCACCTGACTGACTCTACAGGTCTGAACACCATCGACTCTAAATGAAACATCAATAATTCCCTTTCTATTACTAAATATGATATAATTAGTTGTATCTAAATTTAATGATAATTTATTAAGTTTAAACCAATTTTGTATTTCCACAAATGTTGGATTGATCTTTGAAGCCCACATAAAAGGCTGTGGTGGGCCACATTTGGCCCGCAGGCCTTGAGTTTGACACATTTTAAAAGCACCGTTCAGTGTTTCTGCTCGGCTTTAAGACGGTGCTGATTTCCTCTCCCTGTTCCACAGGAGGCTCTGTTTGGATGGAAGGGAGCTGCAGCTCGTGGGAATACGTCCGACAACCAGGGCTCGCCGCGCGCTGCCAGGGAATCCATCCAGACGGAGTGAAGGGCCTGCAGCAGGTGGAAGGACCTGACGTTAGTGACGCGTGTGCAGGGTGCACGGTCAGGCCCAGCATGCAGAGCTTTTAACCACACGGATCTGTTTTCCCCAAAACACACAGATTTCAGCAGAATGAGGAAGCAGCACGTCGTAATGACCTGGACTTTCCCCTCAATAACTTATATTTATCCTGGCCAGATAATTAGTGCGGTTTATAGAGGACTTGAAATTAGATTTGCAACATTTAGTTGAAATCAGCAGAAAAAAGCAGAAGCAGGATAAATAGTTTGTGTGTCGCAGATGAAAAGTCTCACAGCTGAAACACACAAAGCTGCTCACAGTGAAACATTCAGCTCATGAGGAGAAGACACAGTGTGGGCCTCTCTGGTGAAAAACTTTAGTTAAAGTTCTCAATGAGAACGCCGTTTACTTTACAGAAAAACTGCTGCGAGACCCGAGTTCCCCTTTTTATTTTCTTTCTGAAGCTGTTCTGTTGCATCATATTGATGTGTTTGTAGCTGTCCCTTAAATGATGCTTTAATTTGAAATGTAGGCCTTTATTTCTTCTGTTTCTGACTGTGACTTTAGTCAGAGTCTGTTTTAACAGGTGTCTGACAAACATCGACCTGAACAAACTGAAGTTCTGCTTATTTAAGGTTAGAGAGCAGAGATTGTTCTGGAGCATCACATCACCTGAGGACCGTTAGTTCAAACTGTTTCACCTGGTGAAGTTAGTCAAAATAAAATAAATTCATCTCTTATCCATGGCTTGTTTATATGAAATATCTGAAATATAATTTAAAGATAGTTTGAAGTTTTTTGAGCATTAACTACACTGCAAAAATTGTCCACGTTACCAAGTTTTAAAACCTTATATCAGCCAAAAAGTCTTTTTGATCTTGTTTTCAGACTGATTTACTAAACAAGAACTGATTGTGTAAGAATAATCATCTTGTTTTCAGAATGTGTAAGATTATTTGTCTTGTTAGTCTGAAAATTTGACTCTAATTAAGTCAAACATTTTTGCC